GCAAAGATATTCGTGAATTTGTCTCCATGAAGTACAGAAAACTTCAAACTGAATATAAATGTATTCCTTCTTTCTTTGCTAATGACGAGCAGGTAGGCAAAGAGAAAATAGTTCAGGCTAGTCAGAATTGCTTTCTTTATGCTAAACTTGTGATGGAACACATCTTTGATGGCCATGATGAAATTGGTTTGCCTGCCTCGTTATCTGAGATTTACTGTTTGGACTTCAGGCGTCACTTTTCAGATATACAATTCTTTGAGAAAAACGTTGCACCTGTGCTTCAGATTGTGCTTGCCATTCAATCTGCTAAGGCTTTTATAGATACAGAGTTACGTATAAAATATCGGTTAAATTTCGCAACTTCCCATCCTTCTATTTTTGATGAAGGTGAAATCATTGAGTTACAGAAGCTACAGCAGGCTTATGAGGAGAGCGATGAAAGTGTTACAGGGGTTGTGAAGTGTGGTTTGCTTCCCGAACTTAAGATGCATGATCTCAATAAAGTCCTCAAACTTCTATCAGGCTACTTAATAAAGGATGATTCTAGTAAATATTATTTCAGCCATAGTTCTGTAAGAGATTGGTTGCAAGACGAAGAGTCAGATTTCTTTTGCGATGTACTCAACGGGCACTCCATTATGGCAAACTATAACTTGAAAACTCTTAAAGTTAAGTATCCTTCACCCGGCGATTTTTTTGAAAATGTATGTTTTCGTCCGAAACTGCCATATCCTACTGCTCTTCTAGACCTCAAATTCTTTTCTTTGCGTTATCTCTTTCATTCCAGTGAGAGCGGGAGTTCAAACGTGAATGTTCTGATATCTGAATTAGGTATTAAAGCAATCGACCTTCTTCATGCCGCATTTCACGATAGTGATGACGCTTGGAATCCTTACATTTGTTCCGAGTATATGGCAATGAAAGTTCTCGATGGAACAGATGTTTTGAATAAAATGACCATACAGGAAAAAGCCGAACATCTTGAGTGGGCTCTTTTGTTGCATTATGCACGAATTACTGCCAAGTTGTTTGATAGCCGCCCATACTGGATTTTTAGTAGTGACGCCATCATTCGCTTGATCTGTGACATCAAACTACTACAGCTCGTCCCAAAGGAATCAATGCCCCAGTTATTCTTTTCGTCCCTCGTGGATATTTTCTTTCGCGATGAGATATTTGAATTTTGTGTAAAAAATGGATTAACGGCGGATGTATGTGTTCCTCAATTCTTTGAGAACACCGAGGGCTTTGACTCGTCCATCTGCTGGAACGAAGATGTCCAAGAGTATTTTAGAAAATTGAAGTCAGGCGAAGAGAATGTTATCACTTTGGAGTCCCTTAAAGAGAAGCCAATTTATCCAGAAGAAGCTAAAGTGTCGAAATTTACATTGGAGATCATTCAGAAACCTCTTTCAGGTATTGATTACAAATATTCTTGTAAATCTGCAGGTGTGCATGGTGAAAAAAATTATTCTTTAATATAAAATTGATTAAACATATTCTTAAAAATAGCCTTAGAAAAAACCTAGTTTGTTGTATATGAAAGCAATACAGCTGATCGTATAGCTGTGTTCTGTGACCAAAAAAGTTGCTTAGAAAACGAAGTTTATCGCCTCCCTTCGGGCACTACTTTAAAATTACATAAATTTATAGATTCTGATATGCCTGGCACGAATTTATTCATGCAAACCTGCAGTCTCTTTGTATTTTACGACCAAACATCATCATTTTCTATTAAAATTAGCAATATTTTTTTTTTGAAACTTCATGTTATACACAGTTATTGTACCAGTTCGAAGGCGGGGGAGAGGGGTGGGGGTATCACGCGGTTCATCTCAATATGAAATTGCAAAGATTCTTTAATCAAGAATTTTACAGATTCTAAACTTGTGTTGCTCAATTTTTTATCAACAACGAACAAGGAGCGCACGATATTCGATAGATCTTCAGGACCCAGATGTGTTTTATTTAACACAAATTGACCATTGGCAGCAGTTCTTTCAAAAACTAGCTCATGCACGAAATCTGAACTTTTTCCTGTGGGGCATTAAGTGCTATGAGCATTAAGTGCTATCATACGTCTAAATTTGTTCGCGCTAAATCTTTCTATACACTTTTTTAGATCTAACCGGGAGCAGCTGCGAAAAATGGAAGTAATAGGCCCTTTGCCTTCGATTCCGGTATAATGCTCTAATGAGCTGTGCTACAGAGACCAATTGCTAAGCCTCAACCACAGATTCATGTATATATATAATCGAACCTGCCAGAGGGCTTTGCAACTTTGTGTTGCATTTTTTGCAACTGCTCCTGGTTGTTAGGTCTAAAAAAGTGTATAGAAATTTAGGTTCGAAAATTCAATCTAAAAAACCATTCACTATTAGTTGTATCGAACGAGATTCCCAAAATGTCGATATAAGAATCTTTATCAATCTACTCTTTGCAATTTCATATATAATTCAACACTAAACCCAAAAGCTGATGCAATATATCTCTATTTTTTGACGAATGATGTTAAATTTGCTTTGTAAATGGTTAGCTTATTCTGAAAAATGCTTTTCACACTGTTTTAATTGTCTGCATTGGTTAATGAGAATTAGATGCCACCCAAAAATGGCGGATATTCGTCATCGTGAGAAAGGCTAATTCTTGACGATTTCCTGCATATAACCGCGTAATAAGAGACTGGAACTAGTGCAATAATGTTAATAGAGAATGTTGATCTTTCATCGTAAAATACAAAGAAATGGCAGGTTTTTACGAGTGACAACAAGTTAATTCATACTCAGCATATAAAAATCTATAGATTCGTGTGGATTTAAAGTTGCGCCCGAAGGGGAGGGGGTGTGGGGCAGAACTGAAACAAAATCACAGAATACGGCCTATTACGTACATCTCTATAATGGATGGTTCAATTTTTCCTGTTACCATCCCCCAAATGTACACCGACGGAATTTTGTTGAGCATCTGGTCCAGGAGGTGTCCCGTGGGGTAGGGGTTAGGAATAGACATGTTCACAGGCGAGGGGCTTTGGGACTCGTAGAAAAATGCAAAACATGGGCACACTTGCACTCAAATTGTTTCTTCTTCCATATTTAAACATTCCTGTGGATCAGAGATTGCGTTGGAAACTGGATTTAACACTGTACTAACATCGCCTTTAATATAGCCTTAGTGAACACGTTCATCTGTTAGTGAATGCCTTTCAAATGTCGACATTCGTGAAATTTTGATAACGTGTTCGTGTCCAATATTGCCCATAGGAGGGGAATTGGCTTTTCTTTATTTTCCCAGGGTTTAGGAATAAAGTATACACAAATCCCGGGGGGGGGGGTAACAGGAAGAATCGAACCATGCATCATGCAGACAATTCTCTGCTGCGTACGCCTTTCTAAACGGGCACCTCCTTAATATCAACGCCTTTCTAATAATGCGGACACCTTTCCAATGTATCGCCGTCCACATTAATCCGTTTTCGTTTGAAAACGTATACTTTTGCCTTTTCGCCGATCTTCCACACTAATACGATGGAAAACGGATGCCTTCATCAATGAAAACGGAGCTTTTCGAAAACGGCTTTAAAAGTAGGTGAAGACAACGCGGGCGTATACATTGGATTAGTGTGGACGGGCGAAAACGAAGGTTTTGAAAAACGCGGACGGCATGAACACAATCATTCGTAGTGAGTGTGTTGTTTTTCCGAATTTCAAATGAATTGCTTGTCTTGCACTGGATATAATGATGATTAATCTTCAAGCACAACTTGCAAAGACAATGAAATGCTCTACACTATGTCCTAGGTAATCATTTAATTTATTTCTGAGATTGTAAAGCCACTATAGAAGCTCTATTATCGGCGACGTTTTTAGGTCCAACCTCGGTAAATTTGTCTCTTTCTCCGTAAAAATGTTCCTGGCCTTCTTGTAGATTTTTGCATGAATAACGGTAAAATGAATGAAAATCGAAAATAATAAAAAATTATCGTTTTCTAACTGCTAGTGTGGTAAAAAACGATCCAAAACCGCTACTGTGGACGCAGATATTTGTATGTGTTTTCGAAATATCAAAAACGAAGGGATTCGAAAACGGATTAGTCTAATAGTGTGGACGTAGCCTACCTTCCCAATACGGATACCTCTCTAATATGAATACCTCCATAATAGAGATACCTCGCTCATACAGACACCTCTCTGATAGTGTTAATGTGTATTCTTTGCAAGGTACAGTATGTAGTTTCACTATAGTTGGCCGTATACATGTATATAATAATTATGCTTTATTCTTATTCAGAAATTGAACGCCTTCTGAGAGATGGAATGATTTATGTGGAGTTCAAGTATGCCTGGCACTCGCTTTTACCAAGATGGTATTGGTTTCACAAAGATGTGCTACAAACGGTAGAAGACTGTTTAAAACATGGAGCAAACCCAAGCAACAGAGGAGGTGCGGGGGTAACTGCCCTAATGCTAACGTGTAAGAAACTAAATGATCTTTTTGAGGATTCACCTGCGGCGGAACAGGTGATGTCGTTACTGTTGGATCACGGAGCTGAAGTGAATCAACAGGATTTTTATGGACGTACTGCGCTTCATTATGCATTTGAATCAGGAGATGACACTGAAGGACTTGCTGGAAAACAACGTGCTATTGAAATCCTTATTCAGCACAATGCAGACATTTATCTAAAAGATTCGTCTGGGCTTTCCGCCTTTGATATGGCTAAGCGTGAGGGACACGAATCTTGGTTAAGAACCGATGAAGCATCATTGACAGTCCGAACATGCTCAAAGAAAGGAAAAACATACTGTTCCATAAGTTAACCATGAACGCGATAAGCCTGCCCTAATCTGAACTAGTCCCTTATTCAAGAGAAAGCAAGAGTCGTACGAAATCTGATAAAAATAAAGAACTTAATGCTATCACTTGGAACCCCAAAACTAACCTTAGCGACCAAAGCACGTACACGTTTACACTGGAAATTTCAAAGAATTGAATCAACTCCAAAAAAGTTATTCCGTCACCGTTTTTGGTGACCACTTTTCCAGTTGATTCATTTGGAAATTTACAGTGAGGGAATACAATTAAGTAACAATATATATAGCATTTGTATATAGGAAAAGAGTACAGATGATGAACTGCATCGCAATACAATTAAGTAACAAGATATATACCATTTATATATAGACGAAGAGTAAAAGATGATGAACTGCATGGGAATACAATTAAGTAACAATATATATAGCATTTGTATATTAGGGCAAGAGTGACCAGACATTGAACTGGTAGTACAATTAAGTAGCCTAACAATATATATAGCATTTGACATTTGTATGTTTCATAAATTTCATGTAGTTTTAAAGCAGTTATTGTTAAAATTTTGAGACGTGTACAATATATATAGCTAGCACTAGTCGCATATTCATAAATTTCATGTAGTTTTAAAAGCAGTTAAACTGTTAGAACTTTGAGAAGTGTATAACGATACATAACTAGCACTCACGGCCGCATAGAGAAATTCGGGGGCCCGGGGCAAATTTTTAATTCAGGGCCCCTATTTAGGGGGAGTAAAAAAATTTTCTCAGACATATCCAAAAAAAAAAGGTTCAAAAAAATTTTCCAGACAAATACCAGCAAAATTCAGGTCTAAAAGATTTCTCTTATACCATGACTTATATAAAAAAACGTTCCAAATTATTTTTTTTAATTACATTTTTCGGGTCCCCCCCCCCCTTTGCAAATTTTGAGGCTCCATTTAACTGGGCGGGGGCACCATTGCCACCTTGCCCCCCCCCCTCTGGGCGGCACTCCTAGCACAAGTTGCATATTCATAAATTTGTGGTTTTAAAAGCAGTTACTGTCAAAATTTTGTGATGTGTTTATTTGTCCATTAAATTAAAGAACACTGAAAATATCAGCACTGTGGAGGCAAATTTGTTCTGTGGACCATGATGTATATTTATAATGGTCTAATGAAATAACTCATTTGGTAGTCTACAAACCCATATTTCATTTCCCATGCTGGATTCGTAGACTTCCATTTGGCCCGCACAGTAGTGATAAATTCATATAACACTGTAATTTATACTATATTAGTTTTTCTCAAACTTTAACCTCTGATTTTAAACTCTTATCTTTGACAAAAGATAAAAATACATTTAGTGGCTGCCGAGTTCATTTGTGGGTGATTAATATATAAATTGGCAAATTATTTTGACAAACGGTTACTATTAAATTATTTTGGCCCTGATTATCATCGGTATAATCATTTATAAAAAGCTATATATATAGTAGAAATTTCCATTCGGAAGTGAAGAACAGCAAAATGTACATGAGCCAAGTTGGGTTTTGCCAGAATGACCACATGTTACAATTGAGTTACGATTACATTGGTAAGAAAACTTTGAAAAAATGGCAAAAGGCAATTTCTTTGAAAGTGAATGTTTGCTTGTTGTATGAGAACATATTTTAATTATTAAAACAGTCCACATAGAAATTCTAACAAACTGTCAGTTAAAATAATATTCAAATACACATCAAGTACATTTGACAAAATATGCAAGAACAGCACAGTTATATATTGATATGACATGCTGTTTATAATGCCCCCCACATGAAATTAGTTTTTCACTTTGAGGAATTTTATACTTTTATTTCATACTCTAAAACAAAAGTATGAAGCTGGTAACAGATGAGTGAGTTACATATGGCAAGTTTTATTCCAAGTATACATTTGTTGAAAAGGTAGTGTAATGCACATATCAACGGCCTGCCCTGGGGGTACACCCCCGCGACTTTGAAAAAACATGATTCTAATGCATTAATTCCCCCTCCCTCGGCCCCCGGGAAATGTGTAAGTCAAACTGCCCTCCCTCTGGGGCTTAGAATAGAGTAGTTCACATTATAAATAGCATACAAACAATTAAAAATTCAGGGTGTTAGCTAGCCCATATACTGTCCGTCCGTTTGACGGACTCTTCCCAATTGAAGTAGTTAAGGGGCTTTCCCAACTGGGTCTACTGGAAGATTTTCATTTTTTCTGATGAGAATGTGCATTGCATTTGATTTTATATTATTATATCAAAGAACGTTTTATTTACTTTTTCCATTAACTATTTTCTCAAAATGTATCACGTTTCATTCATATTGGGTGTGTATTCACTGAAATGAAATGTACAAAACAAAGTGCCTGCATCGGTGTGCATCCGTGTTCATTCACCGGAAATGAAATAGAAAAAACCAAGCCACTGTTGTTTGCATCTAAGAAGAAACACGTTGGAAAAACACTATTTATTCCTACACAAGGACTTTGATCGGTCAAAAAAAATTTCCCAATTTACGTTGAACGGACAAAACAGGTTTTTTCTGGCTAACACCCTGAAATTATCATACAAACTGGGGTATCACAATGGCACTCATGTATTCTGTATTTATTTATTCAAATTTTAGCAAGACCACTACAAAATATCATAAATAATAAGTTGGCGATCGATATTTTTCTTCGTGAGCCCGAGATTTTGAGTTTGCGCCAATTGTTCACTTCATTTATAAAATTCAAATTGTCATGTCAAAGTCCCCTACTTCCCCTCCCCCCATCGTCCTATTATTGCAAAGTTTGTAATTTCCCCAGGGTTCACGGGCAGAATACACAGCTAAAATACCAAATTCCCCCTCGTTTCCCCCCGGTTGTCCCGGTGTCACAGGAAATTTGGCCCCCCCGAAAATTTGGCCCCCCCCCGGGCCAAATTTCCTAGGAAATTTGGCCCCCCCGGGCCATATTTCCTAGGAAATTTGGCCCCCCCTTCGGAAATTTGGCCCCCTCGAAAACATAGTTTACTTTATCGCTATAAGCTCGGAAATCGTGAAGGTTCTTCTAAAACCAAGATCCTAAAAGTGTTTGTCAGTATTTATAGTTAGTTTGCATAATTTATTTGTGTCGAAATTCGTCATTGCGGCCAAGAGCTAAAAGTTTGAAGGAAAGCGTAAAAATAATAATGTGCTAGTGCAGTCATGCCAGACACATCACACATGGGTATCTGTTGAGGACAACGTTAAAGCATAATGGCAAATTTAGTCACATAGCATAAAATTAGTCAGAATAACAACCGCACTTTTATAGCAAACGATGACATCTGCGTTGGCGAATATGTTAATATCCACGCGTCTAATAAATAACAGGGAGTAATTAGCATTAGTATAGGGTAAAAATAGACTTTTAAGTCGAAACGTTTGTTCGAAAAACAAAATCAAATGTGTGGTTATTTCGTAAAAAAAACTTTTCCTATGCATTTTACTTACATATACACAATATGTAATGCATCGTACTGTAACAGTGGTAGGAACACTAAAACATTTGCATCCGATCTGTATCTGATATACAAACTCTCCGCGCCTTCGGCTCGAGTTTGTATATCAGATACAGATCGGCTGCTCATGTTTTATCTAGTACATAAAGGAAACGATTTTCGCTAATACATAAAACGCATTCTAATTGACAACAAGACGCCTACTCAGGCGTTCACTCCGCCTGCAGGCCTGCGGAGAAAATGGGGACAATGTAGGGTGCGATGGAAAAGTGAAGTCAAATATAAGCCGAAGTGGTGACGTTTGGCTAATGCTGACGCCACTACACGTCTTAATTAACACGTGCGTAGGGGGCTGAAGCTGACGTCTAAACTGGCTGTGATGGCGTGCAAGGAGCCTGAAACTGACGTCCTAATGTCCAAACTTTACATTGAATTTTCATAAGAAAGTGCCATAACCTATAAGAGACAGAAATAGGATATTAATTCTGACACACCAATTCTGTTTGGCCCATCATTGTAATAATAGAGGCCCAAAAAGCATGTTTGAGTGGCTTGGTAGGTATTCTGCCCAGAGTCCTAGTAGGGTTGAATTAGATACATTACACAACACATAGTATCTATTATGTATCGATCAATTCGAAACTGCACCATCCCCCCCCCCCGGCATACCCCGGGAATTTGACTTCAAGTCTTCTCTAGGAAGTAGGTAATTTGACGTTCTAGGTCTTCCATGTGGTGGGCATTTGATAACGGGGTGGAGAATTTGAACCGGAAGTCTTAACATTTTGCCCGTTTTCGCGTGCTTCCTGCATGAACAGAAAATACTTCGCATTGGCGGCAAATGCAGTTTTCTCAGATTTCGAGGGAAACGGCCTCAATTTTGTGAAAAACTGGCTCAAAGAAACGGGCATGGAAAATCTACGTGCTTCATTTGAAGGTATGTACTACATAATTGTGTAAAACTGTTAAATTTCCAGAAGGTATCCAAACTTTTTACGTGGATTTTGCTATCCTGTCGAAAAACATTTCCGTATATTTTGTACTTTTTGTATTTACTGTTTCATAATTTTCATATGAAGGTGGGCCATTTGAACGCTTAATTTCTTGTTACAGTGGGGGCATTTGAAGACATTTTTTGCACAGGGGGTGGAGAATTTGATCAGTCAAATTTCAAAAAGTTCAAATTCCCAGGGTCGGCCCGGGGGGGGGTGGTGGTGAAGTTTCGAATTGATTGATACATAAAGGCTAAATTCCACGACGAGCGAAATGCGAAAAATTTCGTGCGAAAACACACTTGTGCGAAAATTTTCTCTCGTAGTGATTTCCAAAGTAGAGAAAAAATTCGCCAAAACACAAGCATTTGATTGGTTTCGATATTTTGTCATCCAAAACACAAGCATTTGATTGGCTTCGCTATTTCCATTTCGCAACGGAGTAGAAACGATTTCAACTACCCGGCGAAGAGAAATGTTTCGCAGAGAAACATTCCAAAATCATGTTGCGCATGCGTTCAACCT